TAGGGAGGTTTATTGGGGATTGCTTTTGGGAACACCTGTAAGGGGGTGAGGGAAAAGTTGAACTGTGATGCAGGTGAAACAGGCCTCAGCTGATCCCACAGGGAGCCCAGAAGCTGGATGGCCCTTTAGAGGTGTCCCAAGTTGAGGCAAGGAGGCCTGACCTGTATACTTCCACATGGACCAGTGATTGGATGTGGGCTACCCCAGAGAGGGATGTAACCTTGGCAAAGCAGCTCCCTTGCTGAGCACTGAGCATAGCTCCTGGGGAGGGATTAGGCTGTGAGCAGACACCACTTCCAGCAGCCAATGGAAGGATACTTCATTCCTGAAAGTGGGGGAGGGGAACGGGGTGTGGACCTGGGCAGCTTACCACAGCATCCATTACGTTATCTTTGAGTAAAATTAACTCCAGGAAAATGTTGTTTATCTGTCGTTGTAAATGCCTCCTGGCATATACAAGTCCCCAGAAAAACAGATACTGCAGTTTGAGGGCCACAGCAGAGACCCTGGGAATCCATCATAGGGAATTGAGAGGATAAACCAAATGAGGAAGAAACTGAAGCAGAAAGAACAGTTCAGAGAGCTACTGTAATCACTTTGTGGTAGTAGCAGTTAGGAATTAAGAAAAAAAGATAAATATTTTCATCTTGCCAAAGACCTCCCATCTCCTACTGTATCTATACCGTTTGGCCTTCTCTTGATTTGATCCTAAAAGGACCTAGAGACCATTGGAAATTTTAAAAAACAATATAGCCTTGTAAAGATAAGTTTCTCCATCGTGTTTTCAGCTTTTTTCATTATCTTTTGGTTTATCAGTCATTGGGTAAACAATATAGTGCTTGCTGTGGGATCAGTCTTTAGGTGATGGGGGAACTATGACAGAAAGAACTTAGTTCAAAAGGGGTGGAACAGCCACATACTGCACTCTTGATTATGGATAAGGAAAGGTGTGTTGTTAGAATGTTGATCCATGTATACATACTTGATTTTCTCAGGCTTAAGTTTTCAAACTAATTTATTTTGAAGCTTACTGAATCTTGTTGACCTCTTTGGTACCATTATTACTTCATTTCTTCTGTATGGTATTAGGCACGTATTTTTTTTCTCTTTTATTTACTGATTTGCTTTATTTAGTATTATTTATTTTATCATCTGTTGACTGAATGAGACACTTAAATGTAATGTGAGCTTGTATTTATATCTCTGAACTGGAGGATACATGTTTCTTTGTAGCATAGATAGGATTTCTATTTCCCACCTTTCTAGGGTATTCTGAATTTAAGACAAGAAAATACAGATTTTCCTGTGAATGATTTTCCTTTTGATTAGGCTTCCTCTTATTAAAGTTGACTTGATAAGAGCTATTGAAGAGATTTAAGTGTTTGAACATTCTTGGTTGAAAGTATTTAATTCTTCAACAGATAGTTACTAAGTGGAAGGCACTGTTGTAGAGATTTAAGGAGCCCGTCAGTGAACAAATACTCCAAAATTACTTGCTCATGAAGCTTACAATCTAGCAGAGAGAGGCAAACAGTAAACATATTAAGTAAATCATACGGGCTGTTAGAAGGCAGGATGAGCTTTGGAAAAAGACATAGACTAAGGGAATTGCTTGTAGCAGGGCATGGGGCTTGGAATTTATATAGGATGGTCAAGGTAGGCCCCATTGAGAAGGTGACATTTGAGCAAGAATGAGAAGGATGTGTGGGAATTAGCTATGTGGATATCTGGGGTAAAGCATTCTAAGAAGGAACAGTCAGTGCAAATGCCCTAAGGCTGGAGTGGGAAGAAATAGTAGGAGATGAGGTACTTATTCTCAGTTCTCCTTTTGGAGTGGGGGGAGGGGAGAGTGCTGCTGCTGGTAGACATCATAGCCTGATAGGGTCCCAGGGTGCCCAGAGGCAGTTTACCTCCTAATCTCTTTTCTTCCACCATTTTAATTGTAAAAAACTAGAAGGAAGACTTTTCTAGTCAGTGGAATAATATGTTCTTTGATTCTTTTTGGGATGGAGCCTGGGTTACAGTCTAGAGGAACAAAATAAACGTGTGCCTCTCCTTTTTGGGCTCCTCCCTGCTCAATTCTGATTTTTGATACTTCATGAAGATTGTGGACTTATGTTGAAAACTGTTGCTTTAAATCATCAGAGATTTTTAAAAAGATAACTAGGGCCGGCCCTGTGGCTTGGTGGTTAAGTGCGCGCGCTGCAATGCTGGTGGCCAGGGTTCGGATCCCGGGTGCGCATCGAGGCACCACTTCTCCGTTCATCCTGGGGCCGAGTCCCACATGCAGCAGCTAGAGGGATGTGCAGCTACGACGCACAGCTATCCACTGGGGCTTTGGGGGGAAAAATAAAATAAATAAAATCTTTAAAAAGATAACTAATAACCCTTAGCAAAACAATTAGGGATTTCGAATATCAGAAATATTGTATATACCAGTATATCTGGTACATCTTTAAAGATAGAAAACTGAGAGTCCTAGTTTAGTAATAATGATTATTACTCAGATTTTGACATAATGTCGCACCAGATATTAAGTACCCATTATCTGCAAAGCCTTGTTACAGGTCATAAATTCTATTCTTTTTCCTGTAATATCAATTCATAGATACTCATTTTAGCAAAAATAAAGTAGAACTTTATCCAGCTGTTTTCTGAGGATTATCTAAGCCATTGGGGGCAGCATCAGGACGCTTACATTCCCAACAGAACCACTCTTCTCATTGTCGGGTATCCCTTCCACACATCTTACCGCATGTCTGAGACCCTAGCATCTCTTCCACCTGCCTCCCTCCTGCTTCCTCACTAGTCTTTGGGGGAACCCCAGGCATGTCAGTTAGGTTTTGTGAGCCTCAGTTTCCCCTGTAACGTGAGTTGTGGTTGGGGTTAAATGATAGTGGCCTAAAGGCTTAGCACTTTTTAGCTGCCCTTGTTATTGCCCCAGCACCCTGCTATAGCCAAGAGTAGCAACCAAGACCATTGGAAAAGAGCAAGGCTCTGGGTGAGGACTAGGGAATGGGACTGGGGCAGTACAGAGGAGAATTCAGATATGCATCTTTTTGGAGTTGCTTTTCCCCAGAGGCTGTAAATGCAAGGTTCTGCTATGTTTAACTGATTATATTTTAAATACTCACAACATTGTGAGGTAGATGGTGGTATCTTCCTTTTAAAGGTGGAGAACAGGAGGCCCAGAGGGGGTAACTTAGACAAGGCCATGACTCAAGAGTGGCAAGTGTCTTATTACATAGTCTCAAGCAGGAAACCTGACTTTTCTTTTAGAAATAATTATGGAAACATATTCTGAAACAATCAGAAATACTTTTTTCCCCCTAGTTTCTTTCCTAGGGAGAGAAGAAATAACGCATTATTTATACTTCGTTTTCTTCAAGTTCAGAGTAATTTTATTCTTTGTGTATTAATACTTCTACACATTATTAAGTACAAAAAAGCAGGTGGTGTTATTCTCATTTTGCACATGATTAACCTGAAATGTTGAGAAGCTAAAAATAAATGGTTTAGAAATGTTTCATATTAAGTATTCATTATTTTCATATAAAATAAGCTAGGTTTTATACAATGCATTTATTTATTTTTTTATTTTTTGGTTTCTCAAAGGCATTTTTTTTTTAATTTTTTGTTTATTGCAGTAACGTTGGTTTATAACATTGTATAAGTTTCAGGTGTACATCATTATACTTCTATTTCTGCATAGATTACATCATGTTCACCACCCAAATACTAATTACAACCCCACACCACATACCTTTCGCCCTCCTCCCTCCCCCCTTCCCCTCTGGTAATATACAGTGCATTTAAACTCACTCCAGATACAATCAGGCAAGTAGGCTCAGCAAAATGTAAAATATATTAGGGTTGAATTGTTGTGAGTAGGAATGGTATAACACATATTTGTAATTAATATGTGAGTATATGTTTTATCTATCAAGATTTTCTTAAAATTGCAAATGTTGAATTAATGCAGTTTAAACGGGTACAAACTTGCAGTTATAAGATGAATAAGTTCTGGGGATCTAATGTACAACATGTTGACTATATTAAAAATTCTGTATTATATACTTGAAAGTTGCTGAGAGTAGATCTTAAAAGTTCTTACTACAAAAAAAAAGTAATCATGTGAGGTGATAGAAGTGGTAACTAACCTTATTGTGGCAGTCGTTTTGCAGTATATACATGTATCAAATTAAAAATAAATAAAAAGCATTTTGTATATTGAAATTTATTCATTAAATTATTTGACAAATATATATTGAGCATCAAAAAGTGCCAATGCTTATATTAGCTTCTGAGAATAGAATTCTGCCTCATGAATTCTAGCGGGAAGCCACAAACAAATGTAAAATTATAGTGTTGATAAGAGTTGTAGAGGAAAGGCTTATGGTGCTATAAAATTGTATGACAGGAAGATTTGGCTTAATCAAGGAGGAAAAGAAGGCTTTCCTAAGGAATTGGTGATTCTGTTGAGCCTGATAGCTGAAAGAAGAGCAAAAGTAGGCAATGAAAGAGACCAGGCATGGGGGTGGGGAGAGGAGAGTGTCCAGGGCAAGACCACTTGAGAAGTCTAAGCAAAATAAGATGGTGTTTGGATTAAGGAATTTGCAGTTGAGATAAAAAGAAGAGGGCTTAAGTAAAATATATGGAGGAAGTAATATCTATGAGATTTAATGATGGATTGAATATGGGAGTTGAGGGAGAAGGAAATGTCAGTACAGGTTAGAAGATGTGAATTGATATTGTGACTGAAGGTTTAACCACAAGACCTAAAAGGAAATTAGAATGAGCAATCTCGGTCCATACCTCTGTAGGACTATATCTATTTCCATTTCCATTGAGTGAAACTTACAGAGGAGTAGATTCTGTACTATCTGCTTCAATAACTGTTCTGCATATATTTTATCTGAAGGTATCTGTTACAAATTTTAATTTGAGAAGGTAGCTTAATGAAATTTTATGCCTAAATTTTTTTGTATTTTAATTGGTAGAATCTTAAGAAGATTCAAGAAATGGAAAAGAGCGATGAATCTAACACAGACCTAGAGGACCTGAAAAACGCTGACTGGGTAAGATAGCTGGATATTCTCTCTGTTCTGTTTAGTGTTGAAGAAATAGTATAATGTTTTTTAAAATGCTGGTTATTAAGGACTGCAGTATGAATTGATATTGTTTGAATTTTTTTTTAATTGCAGTAACATTGGTTTATAACATTGTATAAATTTCAGGTGTACATCATTATACTTCTATTTCTGCAGAGATTACATCATGTTCACCACCCAAATACTAATTACAACCCATCACCACACACATGTGCGGAATTATCCCTTTCTCCCTCCTCCCTCCCCCCTTCCCCTCTGGTAACCACCAATCCAATCTCTGTCTCTATGTGTTTGCCCTGCCCCACTGAAGTTGGCTCAGTTGCCAGGCTGCAGAGAATCCAGTCACCAATCTATGCAGGCCCACAAGTTGCCTGAGGGCTTGTTGTTGGGTGGGGCCAGTCTCTAGGGTGGGCTGCCTGCCCTGGCTGAGCTGAATTAAATCGGGTGCTCTGTGGGGTGGGGCAGAACCTGGGCTAGCAGGCCCCAGGGAGAACTCCAATGGCATCTGTGTCAGCACGCCCACACCAGGCCACAACAATGGCCGCCGCCAATGTCCCAGTCCCTGGGGAGGTCTCACCTGTCACCGAGATGCACTCAGAGCCTGTTAGGTGAGTCTCTTTTCACCAAAGCACTGTGCACCTTTCTTTCTCGTGATTTTAGGTTGCTTTCTGAAATGGGTGAGTTTGCACCTAGGCCCTTTAAGAGCCGATTTTAATGTCTTTATGAACCAGCTTTTCTGGGGTTACTCCCCAATGTTTTAGTAGCAGGCAAAGTCAGATATTATGCCGCTCATCTCTATTGTGCTGGGTCCACAAAATGCCCACAGCGGGGGCGCTCCCCGGCTCACGGCCCCGCCTCCAGTGAGGGCTGAGTACCTTTGGGCTGTTCCCAGGCAGCCGTGAGGCGATGCGGCTGGTGAAGGTGACGTTTTTCCTCTCCGGAAGGGAGTTTCTGCCTCTTCTAACTCAGTTAGGATTGTCCATTGTTGCCGGAGTTCCTCTTATCCAGTTTGCAGTTCTGTCTCAGGGGTAATTTTTCAACAAGTAGTTGTAAATTGCCTGTGTCCGTGGAAGGAGGTGACTTCAGAGTCTGCCTACGCCACCATCTTGACTTCCTCTCGATATTGTTTGAATTTGAATGCCTAGTCTTAAATTTGAGGAAATACCTATTCTCTGTTGCCAATCCTTCTCTTTTTGTTGAGGAAGATTGGCCCTGGGCTAACATCCATGCCAATCTTCCTCTATTTTGTATATGGGATGCCTGCCACAGCATGGCTTGATAAGCGGTGCATATGTCTGCACCTGGGATCCGAACCTGTGAACCCCGGGCTGCTGAAGCGGAGTGCGCAAACTTAACCACTATGCCACCAGGCTGGACCCTATTCCCTATTTGTTAAAACTATGATTTTATTAGAACCACTCCATTGTCTCTGGGAATTTTGGCGTTTTAAATATTGACCTTTCTAATTATATTAATACTTTAGTATACTTTTGTAAGTCAAAGTTTAAGCTCTGTTTCAGGATAAGGTGTGAAAATATAGTGTAATACATTCATTTATCCAATGAATAGTTACTGGATTAGGGCCCCGGGGATGCAGAATTAATAATACGGAGTCTTTGCCCTAATAGAACAGATGATTGCAGTGTATTCATACAACACACTTTGAATATCTACTGTTTTTCCAACATGGTACTAGATCCTAGTGACACAAAGAATCCTTGCCCTCATATGTGACTTAGAGTCAGGCAGGATGATGGCCTTGGGGACAGGACAGTGAATTTCATGAAGTTAGACTGAGGTATGTCCAGGTGTCATTGGGAAGGCACATTTTAGGGTTCTGACTTTTCGGGTTAAGGATACTGGATAAATAATGACATCATTAAATGAGGGAATAGAAAAAGATGCAGATTTGGGGGACATGAACGAGTTGCTTTTGACCATATTAGATTTTAATTGTTTGCCTTATTCTTTTCTAACAGCTTTATTAAGGTGTACTCAACATACAATAAGCTGCACATATTTAAAAAGTATAATTTGATAAGTTTGACATATACACACACACACTTACATCCCGTGAAACCATCACCACAATCAAAATAATGAGCCTATCCATCCCCCCAAAGTCTCCTCATGCCCTTGTGTAATCCCACTTCCTGCCTCCCTCCTCCCTAGTTTCCAGGCAACTAGTGATCTGCTCTCTGTCACTATAGATTAGTTTGCATTTTTTAGAATTGTATATAAATGTAACCAAATATCATGTACTGTTTTTTTGCTTGGCTTCTTTCATTCAGCATAATTCTTGAGATTTTGTCCATCTTGTTGCCTGTATCAATAGTTTATTCTTTTTATTGCTGAGTAGTATTCCATTTTATGGACTTACCACAATTTGTTTATCCATTCTTGTGTTGATGGTCATTTGGGTGTTTCCTGTTTGCATTATTCTTAATTTACTGATGATATGTTTACTGAGATATTTGGAATGATATTAATCTGGAACATTTAAGAGTAAGGTTAAAAAACAAGTAGCCTATATTGTTGTATAAACTAGTTGTATTTGTCATTTTAGAATAATGTTGATTATCAAGTTTCCTTTGCATAGGAGAATACTCTGGTAGTGTTGTCCTAGGTGTATTTTATCTTAGCTAATAAATTTTTTAATTTGTTTGCCTAGACATTGAAGCCAAATAAATAACTCCAGGTGTTCAGAAGTTAGCAAATAGCTAATATAAGCTTGAACTAAAAATTTAATTTATTGCCTTAAGGCAACCTTGTTTAAAATCTAGTCTGATCACTGACAAGAGATGCACTAACTCCAAAGGGAATGACATTTGCCTAGATCACCAGCTTCTTTCTCATAAGACCATTAAAATGAATTACCTAGAAAGATTAGAGTGAAATGAAAGAATGAGGGAGAATTAGAATATCTTTAATGGCAGAGTATAAACATCTCAGAATCTCCCTAGTGGAATAAGGGGTAAATGATAAAATCTCTGGGAAGACATACAGCGACAGTTGTACATTATTTTATATAGTAACTGTGACTTTAACTTCTGAAAAGTCATATGTAAAATTTTTGCCAAACAATAATATGTGAAGAACTGGCTACATAAAAAACTCTATTTGAATCCTTTCATGAATTATAGCAAAAGCCTCTAATGTGAGTAATCATTCCCTAATTTATCTGTTTTGAGAATTCAAAGTTTCCTATGTCAAATTTTCTTAAAGTCTGAAGAGGTCAAGAGAAGAGACAGTATTTTAAAAGATGAGATGATATTTGAACTAGATCTTAAAGGAATGAGTAAGAGAAGTAGAGAAGTTGGGACAAGAGCATTCCCAAGAAAGAAATCTAAATATTTTATGGATATTGTATTAGAGTATCTTTAGTGGCAGAATCTAAGAATCTGTTTAAAATATAAATATTTTAGAAGATTTCTAACGGATATATCACAGTATTAAGTACCTCAGATTCTTTTTGGAATAAGAAATGGTTTATATTTTTTAAAAATCACAAATCGTTTTTGAGGACATTTTTGAGAAATTTAATTAGAGTTATTTTATGTAGACAATTCTTATGAAATACATTACTTGATTTTTAATAAATATATTTAAGTAGCTATTTGAGCCACATTAATTTTAACAAACTACATTATTTCAGTTAAATATCTTATTGATTTACTTTTCACGGAAGTAGAGATTATGACACCTTAGCTTATAGGCAGGAAAACAAAAGGGTTGAAGTATAATAATATACATGTTTAATGTGTTTATATTATTATAAGTACTTCATATATATCTCATTCTCTTGAAGGGCAGACAAGGCAACTTGCTGTTATTTGTAGATAAGAAAACTGATATTAAATAATTTGTGTTGGGCTGGCCCCGTGGCTTAGCGGTTAAGTGCATGCACTCCGCTGCTGGCGGCCCGGGTTCGGATCCCAGGCGCGCACCGACACACCCCTTGTCCGGCCATGCTGAGGCCGCGTCCCACATACAGCAACTAGAAGGATGTGCAGCTATGACACACAACTATCTACTGGAGCTTTGAGGGGAACATAAATAAATAAAATCTTTAAAAAAAATAAATAACTTGTGCAAAGATAGTAATAACATAAAAATTCGTATTTTTGAGCACTTTCTATGTATAGAGCACTATACATCAGCTCTGATCTTCTCAACAAGTTATAAAGTACCATTTTCTTTTATTAATGAGGAAGCCAGAGTTCAGAAAGGTGAAGCAACTTGCTGGATGTCACATGGCTAGTAGAGGTTGTGTCAGTTAGCTATGATCAAAATAATGCTGTGTAACTAAACACTACAAAGTCACAGTGGCATAAAGCAATAACATTTATTTAGCTCGTGAGTCTGCACATCAGTGTGGTAGCTCCACTCTATGTGTGCCTCATCTTTCTTCTGGGTAATCATGCCAACTAAGGCATGATGTTTTCAAGGTGATAATAGAAGCACGAGTGACAAACCTATTGTGCATTTGCTTTTGAAGCCTGTGGTCATATCATATCTACCACTATTCCAGTGGCCAAGCAGATCATATAGCCAAACCCAAAGGCAAGGTATGGGAAATATTCTCCTCCTCTTAGTGAGCAGAGCCACATAACAGGGTGTAGACACAAAGAGGCATGAAGAACTGAGACCATTAATGCAGCCTACCACAGTGGGGGAGTCAGGATTTATACCCAGCTGTCTCAGCAGTTAGAGTTTGTGGATTCTCTACTGACTTGCTACCCACTTTTTAGTATCCTAAAATCTAATTTTTAAAATCATTTTTGTTTGGTTTACTCAGTGTTTTGTAATCAAGGCCCTTCATTTTTTCTGTATGACTGTAGCTATTCAGAGGAAATGATTTATTCATTGATGTCTCCCCATCCTTGGTTCTTTCAGGCTCGATTTTGGGTACAGGTGATGAGGGATTTGCGGAATGGAGTAAAACTTAAGAAGGTCCAAGAGCGGCAGTACAACCCTTTGCCCATTGAATATCAGCTTACCCCTTATGAGATGCTGATGGATGACATTCGATCCAAAAGATACACTTTGCGAAAAGTGATGGTAGGTAACAAAGAAAACTTTATTAGTGGACTCAAATGGTTATTTTCAGTAATTTTATATGTTGAAAATATTCTTCTCAATATTATATTTTAAAAATTATTTCTTATAAAAGTAACATGTGGTCATTGTAGAAAATTTGGAAAATACAGTAAGCTCAAAGAAGACAAGTTACAAATGTGTAATTTCACAACCCAGAGAGAAATTTTGCAAACATGATGGTGTTTAACCTTCAGTCTTTTTTCTATACATTTTATTTGGACAAAATGGGTTAATATTGAATACTTTGTTTTGTAACCAGTTATTTTCACATGACACATTATGAACATTTTCCCATGCCATTGTTTATTCAACATCATCATTTCTAAATGACTACATCTTTTCCAGCTTATGGCTCTACCAGAGTTTGTTAAATTAATCAACTTGTATCCAGTTCTAAGCAGCCTATTTTGTGTATCCTTGTGTATAAATCTTTTTGAATAGCTACAGTGAAATCCTTGAGTTAGGTTCTTAGAAGTGGAATCCTGATAGCTTTACCTTTGAAATATGTCCTGAGTCTGACTACTCAGCACCACCACTTCAGATACCGTCTATTCCAGGCCACTGTCATCTCTCATTCAGACTGTTACAGTCACCTCTAAGTGGTCTTCCTGCTTGTACTCTCGTCCTTTTTCAGTCTGTTTTCCCAAAAACAGCCAGAGTAAACCTCTTAAAGTAAAAATGGAATGATGTCATTGCCCTGCTCAGGACCTCCCACTGCTCTCCCTCACACTCAGAATAAACTCCACATCCTTATCTTGGCCCGCGAAGCCCACAAAGTCTGGTCCAGTTTTGCTTTCAGACCTCATCTTCTGCCACGCTTCCTGATTGATTTCTCCCCTCAGCCACCCTGATCTCTGCCGCTGTCTTCAAAATGCCTCACATGTCCCTGTAGCTCAACCTTTGCTCTTCCCTCTCCCTGGAGCTCTCTTTTCCCACACATCTACATAACTTACCTCTTCACCTTTTAGGTCGTTGCTAAAATGTCCCCTCATTAGAAAAATGTTTTTGTTTGTTTTTTTGATGTGTGGCAGGGTTTTTTTCTTTTCTTTTCTTTTCTTTTTTTTTGTGAGGAAGATCAGCCCTGAGCTAACATCCATGCTAATCCTCCTCTTTTTGCTGAGGAAGACCGGCTCTGAGCTAACATCTGTTGCCAATCCTCCTCCTTTTTTCCCCCAAAGCCCCAGTAGATAGTTGTATGTCATAGTTGCACATCCTTCTAGTTGCTGTATGTGGGACGCGGCCTCAGCATGGCTGGAGAAGCGGTGTGTCGGTGCGCGCCTGGGATCCGAACCCGGGCCACCAGCAGCGGAGCGCGCGCACTTAACTGCCAAGCCACGTGGCCGGCCCTGTGGCAGGGTTTTTATTGAGAAATATATTGTACAAAGAAAGGTACAGATAATATAAATGTATAATATTTATGTATAATATAATAAATAGATAATATAAATGTATAGTTTAAATAATAATAGTAAAACAAATACCCATATTCTCATCACCCAGCTTCAGAGTAGAACATTACAATTCCTCTGTGAATCTCAACCTTCTGACATTCCTTTGTTTTCATTAGAGAGTTCCACATGCATATGTATCCTAGACAATATTGGCTTTTCCTCTTTGGCTCTTTTTTTTTTAATTGAGGTAACACTGGTTTATAACATTATATAAATTTCAGGTCTACATCATTATATTTCAATTTCTGTGTAGATTACATCATGTTCACCACCTAAAGGCTAATTACCATCCATCACCACACACATGATGGATTACCATCCATCACCACACACATGTGCCTAGAGTTCGCCCGCTTCTCTACCCCCTTCCTCTCTGGTAGCCACCAATCCAATCTCAGTCTCTATGTGTTCGTTTGTTGTTGTTTTTATCTTCTATTTATGAGTGAGATCATATGGTATTTGACTTTCTCCCTCTAACTTATTTTGCTTAGCATAATACCCTCAAGGTTCATCCATGTTGTTGCAGACGGCAAGATTTCATCCTTTTTTTTGGCTGTATAGTATTCCATTGTGTATGTATACCACATCTTCTTCATCCATTTGTCCCTTATGGGCACCTAGGTTGCTTCCAAGTCTTGGCTGTTGTGAATAATGCTACAATGAACATAGGGGTGCATATATCTTTATGCATTTGTGTTTTCATGTTCTTTGGATAAATACCCAGCAGTGGAATACTGGATCCTATGGTGGTTCTATTCTTAACTTTTTGAGGAATCTCCATACTATTTTCCATGGTGGCTGCACCAGTTTGCACTCCCACCGGCAGTGTATGAGAATTCTCTTTTCTCCACATCCTCTCCAGCACTTTTGTTTCCTGTCTTGTTAATTGTAGCCATTCTGATGGGCGTAAGGTGATATCTCATTGTAGTTTTGATTTGCATTTCCCTAATAATTAGTGATGTTGAACACCTTTTCATGTGCCTGATGGCCAATTGTATATCTTCTTTGGAGAAATGTCTGTTCAGATCTTTTGCCCATTTTTTAATTGGGTTGTAAGTTTTTTTGTTGTTGAGATGTATGAGTTCTTTATATATTTTGGATATTATCTCCTTATCAGATATATGGTTTGCAAATATCTTCTCACAATTGTTAGGTTGTCTTTTCGTTTTGTTGATGGTTTCCTTTGCTGTGCAAAACTTTTTAGTTTGATGTAGTCCCATTTGTTTATTTTTTTCTATTGTTTCCCTTGCCTGGTCAGACATGGTACTTGAAAATATGCTGCTAAGACCGATGTCAAAGAGTGTACTGCCTGTGTTTTTTCCTAGAAGTTTTATGGTTTCAGGTCTTACATTCAAGTCTTTAATCCATTTTGAGTTAATTTTTGTGTATGGTGTAAGATAATGGACTACTTTCATTCCTTTGCATGGGGCTGTCCAATTTTCCCAGCACCATTTATTGAAGAGACTTTCCTTTCTCCGTTTTATGTTCTTGGCTCCCTTGTCAAAAATTAGCTGTCCATAGATGTCTGGGTTTATTTCTGGGCTCTTGATTCTGTTCCATTGATCCGTGTGTGTTTTTTTGTGCCAGCACTGTGCTATTTTTATTACTATACTTTTGTAGCATATTTTGAAATCAGGGAGTGTGATGCCTCCAGCTTTGTTCATTTTTCTCAGGATTCTTTTGGCTATTTGGGGTCTTTTCTTGTTCCATTAAATTTTATGATTCTTTGTTCTATTTCTGTAAAAAATTGTTGGAACTTTGATAAGCATTGCATTGAATCTGTAGATTGCTTTAAGAAGTATGGACATTTTAACTATGTTAATTCTTCCAAGTCAAGAGCATGGAATATCTTTCCATTTCTTTGTGTCATCTTCAGTTACTTTCAACAATGTTTTATAGTTTTCAGTGTACAGATATTTCACCTCTTTGGTTAAATTTGTTCCTAGGTATTTTATTCTTTTTGTTGCAATTGTAAATGGGATTGTATTCTTAATTTCTCTTTCTGCTACTTCATTGTTGGTGTATAGAAATGCAACTGATTTTTGTGTGTTGATTTTTTTATCCTACAACTTTACCATATTCATTTATTTCTAAAAAGTTTTTTGGTGGATTCTTTAGGCTTTTCTCTATCTATATAAAATCATGTCATCTGCAAATAGTGACAGTTTCACTTCTTCCTTTCCAATTTGGATCTCTTTTATTTCTTTTTCTTGCCTGATTGCTCTGGCTAGGACTTCCAATACTATGTTAAATAAGAGTGGCAAAAGTGGGCATCCTTGTCTAGTTCCTGTTCTTAGAAGGATAGCTTTCAGTTTTCCTCCATTGAGTATGATATTGGCTGTGGGTTTGTCATATATAGCCTTTATTATGTTGAGGCACTTTCCTTCTTAATCATTTTATTCAGAGTTTTTATCGTAAATGGATGCTATATCTTGTCAAATGCTCTCTCCACATCTATTGAGATGATCATGTGATTTTTATTCTTCATTTTGTTAATGTGGCGTATCACGTTGATTGATTTGCAGATGTTGAACCATGCCTGCATCCCTGGAATAAATCTCACTTGATCATGGTGTATGACCTTTTTAATGTATTGTTGTATTCGATTTGCTGGTATTTTGTTGAGGATTTTTGCATCAGTGTTCATCAGTGATATTGGCTTGTAATTTTCTATTTTTGTGATGTCTTTGTTTGATTTTGGTATCAGGGTAATGTTGGCTTTGTAGAATGAGTTAGGAAGCTTCCCCTCCTCTTCAATTTTTGGAAGAGTTTGAGAAGGGTAGATATTAAGTCTTCTTTGAATGTTTGCTAGAATTCACCAGGGAAGCCATCTGGTCCTAGACTTTTATTTTTTGGGCGGTTTTTGATTACTGTTTTGATCTCCTTACTGGTGATTGGTCTATACAAATTCTCTATTTCTTCTTGATCCAGTTTTGGAAGGTTGTATGATTCTAAGAATTTATCCATTTCATCTAGATTATCCAATTTGTTGGCGTATAGCTTTTTGTAGTATTCTATTATAATCTTTTGTATTTCTGGGATGTCCGTTGTAATTTCTCTTTCATTTCTGATTTTATTTATTTGAGCCTTCTCTCTTTTATTCTTGGTGAGTCTAGGTAAAGGTTTGTCAATTTTGTTTATCTTTTCAAAGAACCAGCTCTTAGTTTCACTGATTTTTCCTATTGTTTTTTAGTCTCTGTTTCATTTATTTCTGCTCTCATTTTTCTTATTTCCTTCCTTCTACTGATTGGGGCTTTGTTTGTTCTTCTTTTTCCAGTTCCTTTAGGCATTAGGTTGCTTATTTGAGATTTTTCTTGTTTGTTGAGGTAAGGCTGTATTGCTATAAACTTCCCTCTTAGGGCCGACCCCGTGGCTTAGCGGTTAAGTGCGTGCGCTCCACTGCTGGCGGCCCAGGTTTGGATCCCTGGCGCGCACTGATGCACTGCTTCTCTGGCCGTGCTAAGGCCGTGTCCCACATACAGCAACTAGAAGGATGTGCAACTACGACAT